TGCTTGCGTCGTGTCTTACGACTTTTTAGTCGTAGCGCCATCTATGAGAAATCTTTGACAGATTTATCACCCAGTTAGTACCTTTACAGCTACCAGTCCTGGCGAGAGATGTCGCTATTCACTGTATTAATTTAATTAATACAATATTAATTTAATTAATACAATATATATACAGCGTCTGGCACGGTATGCAAGAAGACGTCGGTTCTAATCCGACCGGATCGAAGGAATTTTTTCTGAGTGTTCGATCTTTGTATTAATAATTATAACAAACTAGTGGAGTAATTTCACAAAAAATAATTGAATATCAATTCAATAAAAAATTAAATTAAACATTTACATGTTTTTTATTGACACGCGTATGTAAGGCTACTGCCGGAGGACTAGAAAAATAAATATAAACAAATTTATTAATAATCAATAACTTTTTATAAAAAAAAATACCGTCCTCAAAAGTTCGTGGTATTACATCTATTTGCCAAGTTTTGTTGAGATCGGTTACCTTAAAGTGCACGTAACCGGATTCATCCTCTAGTTTCCAACAAAAAAAGAATCACCAAAGTCCGTCCACAAGATGGAATTATCGCGTAACGTACATACAAGAAAAAATGCAGACGAACTGAGAACCTCCTCCTTTTTTTAAGTCGGTTAAAAGCTAGCTGGTGCCCGCGTCTTCGTATGCGTATAATAAATACTTCTATATTCTATTTTCTAATAGCCTGTTGTACTAATTCTAATCTTTATAGTTTTATTGGTTCTCCATACAAACTTTTATCCCCTATATCACCCTCTTTAAGATTAATTATTATAACTAAAAGTAGTCTAGGTATGTCGTTCCCCTAAATCCCATCTATCTCTATATTAGAGCTCATTAAAATTGGTTCAGCGGTTTAGGCGTGGGAATGTAACAGAGTTACTTTCGCTAATAATATTAGTTTGTATTTAACAATACGTGAATTTACAATAACAGTTAATAGCAATTTTAATAGAAGTAAATTTCCTTGTGAAAGATTCGTCCAGGGAGATATTGCCACGTTAACTGCTGTTTCTTCTGCCAAGCAGTAACGTGAGCATTAACGTGTTACGGAGTTACCATGCCTTCATGCGCATTAACAGCGAATCTCAATTCTATTTACTGGGCAACAACATTTAAATTTCTGTGAATAATACAACCGCGCGGTCGTCGAGCAGAGTCCGCATTGTCGGGATGCTAATTTAAGTTAACTTTTTTTTACTAAGTTAACTTTATTTACTAAGGTAAAGGCTAGATACATAGAGCGTATTTTGCGATGACAGTTAGATGCTCGCGGTCGCTGCGCGGTGGGAACACGAACTCCTCTCGACGGCCGCGCGGAGTTAGAGCGATGAAATTCGTGTTGCATGTCATATGGGACTTGTCAATGTGTTGGGGTGACGGGTGTAGTGGCAGTGCTCCTCAGATCTTTGTGATTTAAAGCACTGTTATGGACAGGCGTGTCGCTTACCACGACGCGCACGACGTGCTATCGCTTGGTATTTAAAAAAAAAGGAAAAAACGGTGTTTTAAGTTTATTGAATGTCACGATGTTTTAATGCCATATTATTAATTTTTTTTTATGAAATTACACCTTGAACACTTAGGGCGCGTTCCCATTATGTCGTGACGACAGATGGTCGTGCAATTTAAAGTGTCGTGACTCGTATATTCAAATGAATGTTGTTCACTTATAGTACAATACGATTATCTGTCGTTTTTTGACGTTACGACGAAAGAGATGACAATGGGAAGAGCTATTACGACATTCGTCTAACGATAAATAAAACGTCACGACAAAAATGTGACGACAGATAATCGCAGATTCAAACGATTCTGTCGTGCAAACGACAAGGCGGTTGCCGTGAACCGATAAATTGTCGTCACGATCTAGTGGGAACATGTCTACGGCAGATAGGCGTGATATTGGAACAGGCTAGACACGACGTCGTTCAACTATAAATAACACGTTACGACATGATGGGAACGCGCCCTTAGAAAAATTCATTCGATTCAGCTGGATTCGAACCAGCATCCCCGGACAAACCGCACCAGATACCTCTGCCAATTAAGCCACGGAACGAAAATGCAGTGACGTTGTTTTTGCGTTTTAACGACTTTTTTGCCGTAGAGCTATCTGTGAGAAATTGAGGATCGTATTCTAGAACTCTACTCAATGCTCAAGTCAGGATCTGAGTATGATTTCAAGCACTGGAAATACGACTCTAAGGGCAGGGACTTGAGTGTGATTTCGAGTGCTTTAAACCATACGCTGCAAGCTGCAAGTTCGGTATGAGACGTAAGTTGCCCACATATGAGGATAGGTTGAAGCATTTTGGTCTGTGTACGCTGCAGTCACGACGCGTTGTTAACGATCTCGTAACTATGTATAAAATAGTAAACGCAAAATGGGACGCATGCGAATTGTTAAGCCAATTCTCTTTGAAGATAGGAAGTAAAAGAATACAAAAATTGTTTTATGTGCCATGTTGCAATAACAATGTTACCTATAATGACCCTTTGTATCGAATGTGTCGAGTTTACAATGACATTAACAAAGACAGAAGTTTAGATATATATTTTCAAAGTTGTTCAGCTTTTGTAAAATGTTGCTATCTGAAAATTTTGCAATCTTAAAGTGGTGTAAACAACAGTATATTTTGGAGCCGATAATTTTGTAATAATTTTGTTATATTGTATTGATATGTGATTGCATTTATGTTTGATGACTCATGACATAGTCGCTGCCAATCATGTAATTTTATTTAGTCTTTTTATTTTCTTTTTACCTTAAAGTGTGCCACTATGTAGACTATATGATAGAGCTGTGCACAGCTGTTATAGGAGTGCAAATTTACTTTCTATTATATATTATCATATCTAATATTATCAATATTTATATTAATTTGTATTCTGTAGCTGTGCCAAGAAATAAATAAATAAAATACTCAAATCCTGACTTGAGCAGTGAGTAGAGTTCTAGAATACGACCGTTAGTTGCGTAACACGACCGCTCCCAAATATAGCGTGTTGCCTCTGCTTGCAATATTCTGCTCGGGATAAGGACAGTGCATAATAATATTATGTTTGTTTTGTTTCTTATATGCGAGTGTACGGTTTATTCATAGGTCGTATTTTTAAATTTGATTGCCTATGTGTTTGCCTGTTTACCAACCTACTTTAATTAACCGACTGTATCGAAGTGAAAACTGTTGACGTCACGTAACCCTACAGTTATGAAGCCATACAATAAAAAATTAAAAACCCAAATAAATTTATCAAGCACGTTAAGGTTAGAGAATGTAAAAAGAAATTCCATAGTCTAAGCACATTGGTGAGTTTGCTTGACCCTTTTTTGTCATACTTTTACGTAGTAGCATAAAAAACAGTTTTTAGGCACCAACGCCATTTCTCACGTCCTTAGTATGACGTCTATAATAAAAAAAAACTATAATAATTTCTTAGGAAATGAAACTATTTTTCCGGATTTAAATCGCGTATATTTGTTTTTTCAAACAAACCGACGTTTCGGACCCCTTTACAGGTCCCATGGTCACGGTTGACTTTATTCTAATTTCTATTAATAATTAATAATAAATTAAACTTAATAAAAATTCATTCAATAAAATAATTTGTAAAACTTAATGTAGCGTAAATTGGAATGTTTTCTTTGTAAAATTAAAAATAAGGTATTTAATTAATAACTATTGTAACTATAGTGGAAAAAATAGGGTGGTTTGCATTAATATTAGACATACCTAGTTGAAGACTGTACCACCTCAGTCAACCGTGACCATGAGACCTGTAAAGGGCCCGAAACGTCGGTTTGTTTGAAAAAACAAATATACGCGATTTAAATCCGGAAAAATAGTTTCATTTCCTATGTGTAACAATCGCGAAAACCTATAATAATAATTTCTTTTTGCCTTTCAATGCTGTTTGTAATTTTCTCCCAGTATTATTATATAATGTATGTATTTTTATTTTTAAATACATTAAGGCTTGCACACAATGTCACCTAGTATTTAGCAACGATACGTAACCGGTTTGTCTAGAAAATAAGCTTAAATATACACTTACGCCCCATGCGATTAAAACAATCACTTTAGCCGTTTACGGGATTCCTAAATGAAATTACTAGCGTAACAATTGACAATTTACACGATACCAGCGCGCTCGGATCGAATCTCGAATCACTACGCGTAAAAATATTCGAACGCACTCAATTGCCGTCGTCTGGTTCGAGTGGACTAGGCAGATGTTATATTTTTGCAAGTTGTCTCGAATAATATTGATTAAATAATACAAGGAGACAAATAATAATCAGGCGCTAATATTGAACTCGTAACGTGTCAGCTACATTCCTAGTGTACTTGATTTGCCTTCGATCATAAATGTAGGCTTTGATCACACAAACGCTTTCGATTAGAGAGCGTTCGTATTGAATTCCAGCATGCTCGTAACGTGAAAATCCAAGTTCAGGCCTTGGAAAGATATTTAAATGATCACATAGTAACAAAATATTTAGTGTAATCAACTGCGCAGATAGTAAAGCTGAGGAAGGACACAGAATTGCAGCTTCTTTTTGTTTAGATACAGATAAGATTTTTTTTGCATTACGACACAATTTGTTTATACAAACGATAGGAATGGCGTTATAAAATGATTTGATTAAATTTGAAATATCATCATGCACACGTTTACACGTCCCACTGCAGGACACGGGTTTCCTAGCAAGGCAAGGGTTAAGGTCATAGTCTGCAACGCTGGCCCAATGCGGGTTGAGAACTTCACATGTTTTCAAGTGTTGTGGACCTTTTTCGATGTGCAGATTTCACCACGATGTTTTCCAATACCGAAAAACTCATGGTAAATTTTAAATAAAATTTCGTACATTTTGAGAAACTCGTGCAAGCTCTGATTCAAACCCATGGCTTCAGCTACCGCGGCTTATTTGAAATAACCATAATTGAAATAAAATATTTTTTATTTTTTTCAGATAACAAAAGGGCAGTTATGGCCGTTGATAACGGTGCTTTGTATTATAACAGCAGTTTTGTCCACTTTTTTGGATAACGTAACCACTGTGTTGCTCACGACACCTGTCACCATCAGGTTAGACTATGAATTACTAATTAATTATATTTCATTTATTTTATTTCTCAGCCTAATTACCGTAGCCATTTTGGCGTCCTCAGCCTAATTACTGTAGCCATTGTTTTTTCTCGCTTAATATACCCAATAACATTGAAATATGAACAACTTTAAGCTTAACTATCGATATGTCTAAATGACATTAGAATGGACAAAAAAGCTTTCGAGTTATTATATACAAACGGTAATTAGATCTAATTACCGTAGCCATGGATATGGTAATTAGAAAGTTCAAACATTTTTAAGAAAACATAAAAACAAAAATTATGAAGAACAACTAACAACATATAAATGACTTTATTTTAATTTGCCTCACATTTTGTAATGAACAATTTTGAACAAAATTTTGTAGTAGCAGTTATAGCTCCTTGTGAAAGAGTTTATCCAGAAAAGTATTGCCACCTTACCTATTTCTGCCGCCAAGCAGTAATGACAACATTACTGTGTTCCAGTTTTGAAGGTTAAGGGTGCTGGTGAAATTACAGGCACATAGGACTTGTGTTATGTCTCAGGGTGACGGGCGCAGTGATGGTGTCCCTCAGTTCTCTGCGATCTAAATTTCTGAGTGGCATTGTAACTGTTATGGACAGGCCATCGGGGTCACGACTTGTTTCGTCCCGTCACCTGATGTTATAAAAAAATGTAAATCTTTCTCAATGGAAGTAAAGCTGGACCGGAAAATTAGACCAAACAAACTAGAATACCTTGCAACTTATCGGGTAGGAAGGCAGCCTGGATCCAATTCGTCAGATTTGGTCAAAACGAGCCCTGTTTATCGTTTTCTTCCACTGGACTTTACAACTTTATCTAAGATTTTGAAGGCTAAGGGTGCTGGTGAAATTACAGTCACATGAGACTTGTCAACTTATATCTCAGGGTGACGGGTGACGAACTAGTCGAGTTGGAGATCTTGGATCTGAAGGCAGATGTAAGAATGGTCCTTTCCTTTTACTTGGGAGCTCACCTGTTCCTTATATGTTTCCAGGTTGTGCGAAGTAATGGAACTGGACCCTATTCCCATTTTAATGGCAATGGTGATCTTCAGCAATATTGGCGGCACCGCAACGCCGGTCGGGGACCCGCCTAACGTCATCATCGCTTCAAATCCTGCCGTCATACAGTCCGTGAGTACTATACCTATACAGCATTGTTAACGTGACCATTACTTTTTTCGCCAGAGCGAGACGCTTGTAAATTTATGAATTATTGTTTCTTAAAAATATTACACATGTTTCTGGTAGTTACGAAATATGTTATGATTAAAAAAATGTTTAATGAATAGAAGAATTACGTGTAGTACCAAACTTGTCTCGGCAATATTTTGCGATATTTTGCGCTTTCGCCATTGACTTACAATTATATGGACGTCGGGTCCGCGCTAAAAAGTGTCCGCACTTGTAAGGCGCTAAAATCGTATACCGAGCGCCAAACTCAGCTTTAGTCTTCATTTGTTCGACTGACAGCGCGATACTACGATGACATTACAATTTAAATTTCGAACAGGTTGACTTGGGACATTTTTTTCGTGGTTTTTGTGTTAGACCCGTCGTCCATTTATTTGTAAGTCAATGGCTTTCGCGCCATTTTTTTTAAATTTATTGTGTGTCAGTGTAGATACTACTTTAACTTTACAATATAGAAACTTTTCTATATTGTCTCGGGTCTGGATGTTTGTGGTATGGTGTTTCTGATTTCCATAACACAAGTGCTGTAGCTACTTACTTTTGGATCAGAGCAACGTATGTAATGATGATGTTGTCTAATCTAATATTGTTTGATGTATATGTAATTTTATTGGTAATATAGGTAAATAAATAAATAAATTCGTGTATTAATTACTTTCCAGGGGATAAACTTCGCGAATTTCACAATGCACATGACTCTAGGCATTTTGCTAGTCAGTGTACAAACCTGCTGTCAACTAAGATACATGTTCCGAGACACCAACAAGCTAAGAGTAGGTGAACCTAGGGATATTACAGGTACGTATATTTGCTATTTCAGTATCAGTATCAAATTCTATATAAGCTTCTTGCTTGTAACGCGATGTTTGCGCGCATTTGAATCGATTCATTTACAGCGCGTCCAGTTTTGAAGGGTGCTGGTGAAATTACAGGCATATGCGACTTATCAACTTACTTCTTACACATTACTGTTTGACCGTAAAAATAGGTTTGGCGACTGTAGCCGCCAGACCCAAGTAGAAGATGTATAGGATATCTTATAGGATTTAAGTTGACTGTAACATATTGGCAATAAGTTACTAGCTTAAAGGAGTAGTGCCATTAATCGCAAACAGTGGTGGTTTCTTATGATGGCACAATTCAAAAGTGAACGTCCCTTTTGACCTTTTTTAGTTAGTTACTTCATAAAGTTCGTTAAATTGTGGTAGGCATGAAATAACATGTGTGTGGTGTTAGTTGATGAGTTCAAAATAGAACCCCCGGCCTACGCAATGTACCTTTGACGAGAGTTTAGTTACTGCTTCGAAAACTGTGTTATATTTTATTACAATAATAATAAAGATTCACACGTCCCCTTAACACATATAAAGTCCCCATAACATAAATAAATAGTTTTGTTTCTCAGCTGCTAAATTACGGGTTTGATAGTATTGACAAAGTATTCATTTTCAGAACTTCGCCACCAAATAACTATCTGGAAGCGATCAGCGCAATCCATGTTGAATATCAGCAAGGATGAGCAAATAGTACACGAACGACTGCAAAAGAAAGTCACGAAGCTGGAGAGGGATTTAAAAGAGAAGCTGAAGGATAGTAAAAAAGTTGTAATACCTAGTGACACCTTTGAGACTACTCTAGCTGAGATGAATCAAAAGGTAAAGAATGGTTTGGTTTTTAATTATATTACATCCTGGACGTCGTGTCCGATTAAAACTAGAATGCCCGAGATAAATATGTTCACTCTTACGACGAAACTTCTAATTCACTAGAAAAGCATGGCAAGAGGCTTAAAGGTGACTCGGATTTAGTAAAGGCAAAACTGCAGAGCCTTGAACATAGCATAACATAGTTGCCTGCTTAGCAGTATTCTACAGGATGTATCACGGAGAATATGCGATGGAATTGCGTGATTAAATTCCGCCTTCTCCATTTCATCATCGTGGAACTTCACGTAGGCTGGGGTTCCTCGCCTATGTGTTGGATGTTCCAAAGTTTTGTACGAAGCATCGACGAATGTTATACAGGCTGTATATTTGAAAGTGGGACATACTTATAGAGTGCGTTATATTCCTGATTCTCAACCCAAAGAAATAATAAACTAATGAACTTAAACTTTACAAAAAATATTTTATTTTATTTTTTTATCGACTACTACTTGAGCACAACATTAGTTATCGAAATCTATGCACATCACTATTATTGCTCCGACGCAGCGGCGAAAAGCAAAGCACAGGTCGGGGGTGAGGACGGGACGCGGGCGCATACGCGAAATTTTTCAGTCCACGCGCGACCTTGATTTAACGAAGACACGTAAATTATTTGTCCTTCCGCTCGCCCGATCGCCGCAAAATGGGTATTTATTCTAACGTGGAATTGACTGAGATGGTGCGACTTTACGCAATAAGTGGTGATAGTGTGAGGCAAGCTATTGAAATGTTCCCAAATCGGGGTTTACGCGAAAGAGGTGAACAGTGTCGAAGCGTTGCGTGAGAGGATTATCTCAGCATTTTATACTGTGAGACAAAATGTGTTTGTGTTGTACAATTTAAAACAAAATTTACTATGCCGTGCTAGACTATGCATTGTGGAAAACGGTGGACATTTTGAACACTTGCTCCGTACCACGTAAGTGTAAATAAACTGTAAATAACTAAAAAATCAATCATTGTAATTAATTTGATTTCACATTTTTAACTACGCCAAAAACCTCAATTCTTATTAAATGATAACTACTTACTAAAACATTTCGATGATAGTTCAAGTAAAAAACAATTAACATAACCTAAAACGTAAATGTGAAATCATTGTTATTGTTGCTGTCTCACTCGGCGCTCGCTTGGTAGCATTCCCATTACACTCGAAATTAAGCGTAAAGGGAATCGGTTTATTCCTATCTACACTTCAAAACACATTTGTTGATTTATTTTTTGTTCTATCCCATATCCTAGTTTTATTTTAGTCTATGTTAAGTTGTAACATGATTTACTATGACATGTATGAATATGTCTCACTTTCAAATATACAGCCTGTATAATGACGAATTGTTAACCTTTAACTGACGCTACTTAACGAGGGATGTGGTCCTACCTAATCGAGAGTTGGAAACCATGTGGCTGTTTTTAATATTAAAAAAATATTCCAAATTTCATACTAGTATCTACTGGTACTGGTGTATTATTAAATTAATATATTAATATAAATTATTTTTATTTTCTTTATAAAGTGTCAGTTTTACAAGAATAATATAAAAAATATGGCGATCGTCACCAGTGTTAATTTTCCATTATACGTTGCCACGGGTTGCTGAAACTGTCACTGTCAAGAGTAAACTGGAACCATCAATGAATTTAATAAATTAAATTATGTTGTTTTTTTATGAAGGATTTATGTAACTTTCTATAATTGTTTCTAATTTATTTTGCACGCACATGTAAAATAAAGCCGATTTTATTTTATTTATTTTTTAAATGCATCGAAATTGAAACAAAGTCAGAAATAGTAATAAGAAAACCAATCTTTCGATTTTCCTGCAGCTTCAATCCAACCTTCTTATATTTTAAACTCATTGGAAAAACTTAAAAATTAAAAATACTCTACGTTTAATCTTCGAGTATAATGGAATTTAAATATCTTGAATATCTAAAACACATAAATTTTTCTTCAAACAACAGCAACATCCAAATTGATATGAAATTGAAACGGTTGTCCGAAATATGAGTTGTGTGAAAGTTACTCGAAATAAAATGTTTAGTGATAATAATAATAATAATAATAAAATAACAGAAATCAATTTAACGTGAATGGTTTTCGCTTCGATATTTTAGGGACTTTAATTACAAAAATTATAGTAAGAAATTCAAACATTTCAGTAAAAATTTATTGTCGATATACCTCAGTCTTCGTAAATGAACTTCACTATATTTGAGTCTAGAAATTTCTATGGAGACAAAAAGAAAACATTGAATAATAATAGAAATAGTAACTAAAAATGCAAATAGCCGGTGGAATGTTATCTCACTGGTTTTAAAATTTTTGTTTTCACTCAAATTTTTACAAGGTGTATTGCTACAACTGGCATTTTCACGTTTTACGAGAGATCTTGTATGTACAACGATCGCCATGTCACTGTGGCGATGTTTGTAGGCGTGTCACCTCGATATGGTCATTTTGACCATATCGAGGCGACGCGAACCGCGCCCCCATACCATATCTCCCCTTTTTTTCTATATCTATGGTTCCAGTTTTGAAGAGTTAGCGCTTCTGCGCATCTGAATCTTATTCGTACCCAATCTGAGAAATGACCGTCCGAAATGTCACAAATGATCCCATTTTATCTCTAAGTGTACAAGCGATATTCGAAGTGGGTCTGAGTTTTCTAGATTTGTATAGTCTCGAATTTGGAACGAATACAAATCGGATGTAGTGCGCAAACGCAGTAAGAGTGCTGGTGAAATTACAGGCACATAAGACTTGTTAACTTGTCTCAGGGTGACGGGGCAGAGGCAGTGCTACTCAGAAATTTGCGGTTTAAAGCTCTGAGTGGCGCTGCAATTGTTATGGACAGCCGTGTAGCTTACACAGCTGTCCATCAGGCGCACGACTTGTTCGTCCCGTCATTTGATATTATATAAATATGATATTTTAATGTGTAAGCGGAGTGAAAACATGTTTTTCATCCATTTTTTTTTATTCCCTTTCAGTACAAAATCCGAGATGTGCCGCTGCTGATCAAAGCAACGATAGCGATATCGTTTGTCATCATTTTATTCTTTCTACACGTAATACCTGAACTAAGTAAGTTTTTTAAATTTTTATTGAATTGATATTTAATTATTTTTTGTGAAATTACTCCAATAGTTTGTTATAATTATTAATACAAAGATCGAACACTCAGAAAAAAGTAAGGAGTAATTTCAAAACTTTAAGTACAATGAATAGCGACATCTCTAGCCAGGGCTGGTAGCTGTAAATGTATCTAACTGAGTGACGAAAAACTTAAGATTTCTCATAGATGGCGCTACGACTAAAAAGTAATTGAAAAACCAAATACAAAGACACGACGCAAGCACATAGATCGTGAGGTCCGTTGGTTCGTTCCGTGGCTTAGTTGGTATAGCGTCTGGCTCGGTATGCAAGAAGACGTCGGTTCGAATCCGACCGGATCGAAGGAATTTTTTCTGAGTGTTCGATCTTTGTATTAATAATTATAAATAAGTTTTCTTTCACTGTTTAACATTTCGAGATACAATGATAGACCATAGGTAGGCCGCATAAGTCAGCCCTCGCCTGAGACGCGACAAGGGCGCGGGGGATAACGACAAAGGGAATTGCGCGGCGAGAGAATTTTGATTTATAGACTGTCTTTTTTGAAAACGGAATAAAATGACAGTTCGTTGAGCAAGTGTTGCCCGCTTGCAAGCATCTAGTGATTGCAGTCGATAAATATTCTATCGATTATCGACTAAATATTGGCCTCACTTACGGAATAAATAGCCGAACTTGTTACATTTGAATCGAATAAGTCGATCCTCAAACGCAAAATTAGTAGCCGGACCAATGAAGAAATATTCAACACAAGCGCAGCTATTTTACACGATTTAACCTTCACGGATTATTCGCGGAAATTAATTTACTTCCATTTTTATTAACATGGACTTCCGCAAAGTAACGCCTGAATCTATTAATTACTATTTAAAGTACACAAATATTTTAGAAAAAGAAAATTTTGTTCTAATTTGCTTGAACATAATTTTATTTTTAATTTATTTTAACTAAATAGACACGCCATTAAACATGTTAACGTAACGTATCGTTAGATCAATCCGTAAATATTTTCATCTAGTATGAATCGCAGTGTAACCCCGCTTCCACACCATTGTAGCGTCTTGGGCTGACTTATGTGGTCTTATAGTAACGTGATATTTTTTTACACATTGAGGGCTTTTCTATAATTTTTTATCAGTAAAATCAAATTTAACTTCAACTTTGTAAATAAAGTCCTTAGATATTGACATCATATAAACAATGGACGACGTCGAGTAGCTTGCACACCGGGTTTCACGGTGTCGTCATCTCTGAGGTTTGATCCCCGGTCGCGTCAATGTAGAAAAATTAACTTTTCTGTATTGTCTCGTGGCTGGGTGTTTGTAGTATAGTCGCTGTTTCTAATTTCCATAAAACAATTGCTTTAATTATTTACTTTGGGATCGGAGTAATATATGTGATGATTTATTAATATAAAGACCGAACACAGAAAACTTATTCGACCCGATGGGACTTGAACACACGACCATACTGCATCGTAGTATTGCTCCTACCAATTGAGCCACGGGTCAAGTTAGCGAATTGTCGAAATTCTGTTGCAGTGAAGAAGGTTCTAAATCTCTCAATAGATGTCACTAGCGGCTCGGAATGCCGAAATATCCAGTACAAAGATCTTTAACAAACACCCATGGGAATTTTGACAACTCGATGAAATATGGTCGTGGGTTCATGTCTCATCGGGTGGAAAAAGATTTGTTGGCTTTTTGTACTAATAATAATCATAATAAAAGCTAGTGGCGTTATTTCACAAAAAATATCAATAATACGTATGTGATATTGTCATATGTTTATATATTTATTTTACTTATTTAATGAAGACTTTATTTTCGTAAATAAATTAGGAAAAACCACACAGTGTAACGCGTTTTATCAGTCTAAACTCTTATTGAAAAGACAAGATATAATGATAAAATGAACAGTTTAACATGCAACTTAAACTCTTTAAGACTTGGTTAATTTTTCTACAATGCTCAGATTGGCACTATTTACGTTCTGTGCAGGGTTTTTCCAGTTCAATTTTAAATGAAATTGTTTAATTATTTTTTACAGATAGAGTGTCACTAGGCTGGACAGCACTGTTAGGAGCTCTCTTGTTACTGATCTTGGCGGACAGAGAAAACCTAGAACCGATACTACACAGAGTAGAATGGTCTACGCTATTGTTCTTCGCTGCTTTGTTTGTCATGATGGAGGTAATGTTACACTACTAAGCGTAGTCCTTCCTATTTCCTTTCCTGTACGTCATGCGTACCCTGTGCAACAATCGGTACCTTATGCCGATTGGCAAAGTTCTTCACCACGATGGCAAACATTATAGTGTATGCCATCGATATGACCTGCAAAAACTGCCGTATCGTGTAATGAGCTTAACTTTGGCGCTTATATTGAATGTAAGGCACAAACTGCAGCCAAAAAACTGGGTATCCTTAACAAGTTTAAGCGATATTTCACGCCTGGACAGTTCTTAACTTTATACAAAGCACAAGTCCGATCTTTCATGGAGTAGGTACTGCCAGTCACCTGTGGGATGGCTTAGCGAATTATCAACTTGAGGCTCTTGATTCGATTGAGCGCAGAGCCAGAAGAGTTATTGGCGACGTTAAGCTCGAATCTAAAGTTCACTGTTTGGCCCACGGTCGCAAAGTTGCCCGTCTTCGGTTTTTTACAGAATATATTTCTGTGAGTGTGCCCATGAGTTCCATCAGCTCATCCCGCCTGCCACCTTTTACCATCGGACATCCAGACGTACGGCGGGATATCATCCTTACTTGGTCGATATTCCCTTCAGGCGTACTAAGCGCTTTTCATCATCTTTTTTTATGCGCACAGCCCAGGAATGGAATTCCCTGCCTGCGTCTGTATTTCTTTTTAATAGGCATCTTCTGGGCAATCTCGTTCCATCGTAGATCCTATCTTTGCTCCAGAGCTAGGTAGTGGTCAAGAGCAAGTCCATCTAATTAAAAAAAGAAAAAAAATGAGCACGTAACAATTGAAGCATTGCGAACAACAAGGGCGTTCGGCACCCAAAGTCCGTATTAATGTAATTGCATCAAAACATGTAAGACACTGTCTAGTATCTTGTGACAAAAAATCATTTCAATCGTCTTCTAGATGACGTAAGTTTCATTCGTTTAGAAGGTGGCGCTCCGCCCTCGTTCCATGGACCATGAGTGTGCGTTTGAGTTTCGGACACGTTACCACCTGCAGTTTGTAAAAACTTATTTAAATGTCTGAAACGTGCGAGTTCATCCTCAACTTGGACCATCTAGGAGGCCAGTGAGACCTTCTGAAGATGAATCTGTCGCTTCATTTCAATCCAGCAAAGTTAATGAATGATTGAAAATCCGTTTAAAATGTTGTTGTTTAAAACCAATAATAAAACGAACGCCCCATTAATTTAGCGGTTTGGTGCAACAAGGGCTGACAACACAAGGAAAAAAAATTTCAAATGTTTCCAATTGTTTTAAAATAACAATAACACCGGAATCTTTTAACTAAATCATAAGACAAGTAAATAATAAAGTATATAAGAGCCATATTATTATTATGACTATTACAAATATTAAAAAAATATAAGACATTAAAACTTTATTTTAAATTTTCCCGAATCTCACTTTCACGCCCTTGTTACACAAAAAACACAAACTTCATTATCATCTCTAAGACTCCATTAGGGAATGAATGTATACGTAAACCTTTTTAAATACCTCGGTAGCTACGTTAATGAACGTTGAGACGGCGTACAAGAAGTTCGTACCAGCATCGAACAGACTCGAAGTGCTTTCATGAAAAAAGATTTTGTGTTCTAAAAGGTTCTACCGTAAAATCCGCATGCGATTGGTCCATTGTTAAACCTTGACCTCGGCATTTTGCTTAAAACTAAAGGTCTTTGAATCTATATCCGTATAGACGTATGCTTGGCATATCTTGGGTCCAAAGAATCATCAATGTAGCTTCTTCATTATCTGTGTTCCCGTTTTTCTCCCTTATCCCCCAGTTCTTGGCCAAAATGTGTGACAATAGAACACTATTACATCCTCAAACCAACTCCAAATTCTTCCACAGTTCTTTTACAGTAAGTACAGCTCGTATGTGGAATAAACTGCCTGCTGGCATTCATGACAGTCCATCGGTGGCATCTTTCAAACACAAATTTAAAAAGCATTTCCTATCGAACGCGTTAGATAGTTAATTAGTAACACATAATAGAAATGATGAAATATAAAAAAGTAATTTATTTAGATTACAATACAATATATTCTGCTTATGTATGTATTTGTAGGTGTGTGTGTGACTGTCACATGTATATTATTATGATTTATATTTATTATTCACATTTAATTTTGAATTTAATTGTACTATAATTAATCCCGTAGATTTCATTTTTACACCACGGCTTGAGTTGCCTGGAAGACATCTCTTCTAGAGTTGTCTCTAGAAGAGTGTTGTCTCACCTTTGTATTATGTGTTTTATGTGTCCTTTCTTTGTGCAATATAGAATTATTATATTTATTTCCAGGCACTCTCAAAACTGGGCCTCATATCCTTCATCGGAAATATCACAGAGAACCTCATCTTGAGGGTAGATGAAAACGGCAGACTGGCTGTGGCATTGATGCTCATGCTTTGGGTAAGCAATGTTTACGTCTTCAATTTAAATGTATAAATATTTGACGTCAGTTACGTTCCTCTGATCCCAAGGTAAGTAACCAAAGCACTTGTGTGCATATCGAGTTCTTAGGTTTTCGCAATTGTTACACATAGAAAATGAATCTATTTTTCCGAATTCCGGATTGACTGGTAGAGTCAACCGTGACCATGGGACCTGTAAAGGATCCGAAACGTCGGTTTGTTTGAAAAAACAAATATGCGCGATTTCAATCCGGAAAAAAGTTTCATTTCCTATAAAGCACTTGTGTTATAGAGATCGGAAATAACGACGGTACCACAAACACCCAGACCCGAGAACCCGGCATTTCAGAAGGTGACACTGAGACACGCGACAATGATATCCCTATACTATCAGAGATCTGATGATCTATTTTTAAACAGCTCACCTGATGTTGATTATACATAGCTTAGAACCGTCCCGATTTGATTTGCGTTCAAGTAAAAAATCCCTTTATGAGCCGATGCTACCCATCGAATATAACCAGAAATTGACATGAAATAAGGCCCATACATTCGTGGTAACTCATCAGTGATACATCACTTATAAATATCAACAACTCGTTTGACATGACACTGGCTTTATTTCAGAATTTATTATTTACAAACGAAATTACAGGCATTTGAAAAATAATAATCTCAGTACAGTGTACTAAAAAAACCGACCTCAAAAGTGGAAGTACGTCTGTTTGCTAAGTTTTATTGAAATATCCCCTAGTTCGCCATTCTACTGGACTTGACACTGGAGATAATAAACATTGGTTCTCACTACTCAAAGTATATTGAGAGAAAAACGCCTTGAATTGGAGAAATAGCAAAATCAGCCATTAAAGTAATTGCTCCTAAATTAAAGTTAGGCGCTATTTATAAAAATGAATCTTCATGCGTGACCCTTCGAGGTGGATGATTTTCTTCAAAATGAAATGGGACCACTATGGAAGTACCCCCTTTCTAACAAAAAAGAATCATGAAAATCGGTTCACAAATACCGGAGTTATCGCGTAACATACATACAAAATACATACAATGTTTTTATGGCTGACCATGGCGATGATTTAGGGATGGACATATTTGACAATTTTTTTTTTCGCAATCGAATACACAACCACCACGGTTTCTCTCTTTCATGGTTATAGTCATAGTAATTCTATTTTATTTAAGGTTACAGTTTTATTTATACCTAAGTATTTTATATTAATTTACAAACAATTTATATTTCAAACAAAATTGTTTACTCATGATTGGTCATGCTGTATGTACATGTTTAGGTTTACATTCAAGAATAGAACTAGTAGTAATGTTTAAGCTTTGGTTAAGGAGTGAATGTAAACTGTTTTGTACATCTAATAAATAAATAAATAAACAAACAAAAAACACTGTATGGTTTTACAGTCGAATTGAGAACCTCCTCCTTTTTTGAAGTCGCTTAAAAATCGTCTACACGTGTTCTATTTACTTCAGTTGATATAAAAAAATCATTGCTATATGTAAAGTACCTATTGAATTTTAAAGTTTTCTTGAAAAATTTCAAGGTGTGTTCGTGTTTTTTTTTATCGTAAACATCGAAACCGTGTTTTTACGCTGTATATGTATATCCTTATATATATATGTATTTAACACTTTCACTGTTATGCGAAATCAATCAAAGCCATTTGAGATCATCCATTTGTGAGGTAAAATGCCACATACAGACAAAGAAACAGATACACACAATTATCTTTTTCCAGGTTTCAGGAGTAACGTCAGCCTTCGTCGACAATATACCTCTAACAACAATGATGGTAAGGATCGTGACGTCGTTAGGATCCAACCCGAATCTCAATCTACCAATGGCTCCTTTGATATGGGCGCTGTCCTTTGGAGCCTGTTTGGGGGGTAAGTGAAGCAGCCACGTCATATATATGACCACGATATTCCAAATTTTTTACCATTTCCCGTGGGGTATTAAATCATACAAATTCAGTTTTTATTGAATGCCAGGATGTTTTACTATGATGATATTCAATATATTTTTTTGTGAAATTACTCCACTAGTTTGTTATAATTATTAATACAAACATCGAACACTTAGAAAAAATCTTTCGATCCGGCCGGATTCGAACCGACGTCTCCCAGCAAACCGTGCCAAACGCTATGCCAACTAAGTCACGGAACGAATCAGCGGACCTCACGAATTTTCCTATGTGCTTGTTGTCGGACCTTTGTTTTTTAATGCCTTTTTTGTTGTAATGCCATTTGTGAGAAATCTATGAAATCTAGGCAAAAAAGCCGTTAAAAACCAAACACAAAGATCCGGCAACAAGCAAATTTGATATAGAACAGTTAGTTCGCGATTCGTACCTCCATGACAAAAGAAAAGTCCTTTAAAAATATCAAGAATTACATCCTGATTATAATTTACATTGTACAGTCAAGAGCACATCAGGCTTGACACTTTGTACTTTGGACCGTTCTTATCGTAAGCGGCACTATACCTAACTCTATAGTTGGATTTAAGTCTTAAGTGTCAAGCTTAACGTGCTCTTGACCCTGTACCAATTTGCATTGTTGGTCTAATTTATATTTTTTCAATCTTGCAGGTAATGGCACACTAATCGGCGCTAGCGCGAACGTGGTCTGCGCAGGAGTAGCCGAGCAGCATGGATACAAAATCACTTTCGTACAATTCTTTAAAATCGGTTTTCCTCTCATGATAGGTCACTTGATCACAGCGTCTATCTATTTATTATTATGCCACGTTCTTTGGCATTGGCATTAAGGTTCATTTTGTTGTTTAGATTAGCAAAAATAAGGTTTTGACAGGTGTTGAAGTAAAGTATTGGATTTAAAGGAGTAAAATGATTTAAAATAAAATCCGTTTTAGATTACAATTAAAAAATGCTTAAATGCACAAATCTACAACTGCTAAGTATTTAAAATTGTAGGGTGTGTGCCCTATATTTATTACCCTTAAACAGGTTGGCAATAGGTCACAACTGAAGATTCAATCGGCAGGACCATATAAGGCAAACGACAGGACAATGCCATTACCACTGTCAAATTTTTTAAAGATAGTAAAAACAGTAGCTTTTTATGTAAGTCATAATATCATGTCATTGTAAAGGTTTTGTATATGTATTAGTTCAACAAAATGAGGGTGCAGAGGTGTACACAGTTAAAGAAAATAATATGTAGATATTTAAACTATAATATTTAACCATTGACTTACAAATAAATGGACGACGGGTCTAATACAAAAACCAGGAAAAAATGTCCCAAGTCAACCTATTTAAACGTAGTGACTGTAAAGGAATATGAAAAAGCTAAAACGTTGAATTTAAATTGTAATGTCATCGCAGTACTGTCTAATTTTGCTTGCTTCGCTGTCAGTCGAACAAACGAAGACTAAAGCGTGAATGTCGCTCTGTATACGATTTTAACGCCCTATAAGTTGGGACACTTTTTAGCGCGGACCCGACGTCCATATAATTGTAAGTCAATGTATTTAACATAAAAATACCAAAACCAAATTTTGTGGTTGTGATTAATATTTGTTATGTAAATAAAAAAGAAATTTTATTGGTCTGCCAGAGCCTCAAGCCGTAAATACGAAATAAAAAAAAATACAATACTCCATTTGGCATTTCAAATGTTAGATATAACAAAGGGTCATAGGCAAAGCTAATCTCAGATTGCGTCACACTCGCTGGCAGATAAAAAAGTCCATGCAGTTTTTGCCACTAACTTTAAACAAAAAACATTTTTTTTCT